GACTGGCTGCTGCGAATTCACTGCCTGGGGTAAGAGTCTTAACTTCCTGATTCGGTCTATCCCACTAGAAAACAGAGACTCGCCATTTAATTTCCTGTACTCTACATGGGGCTATGTTTTATTTTACTTTTTTAATTTGGGGGGCCTGATCCTGAAGGCATTCCCACAAATAGAATTGGGGTTATTTTGCCATCAGACCGGTAGGTTCACACCAGGAAGGAATTTGGCACATCTTATGTGTTAAGAAAAAAAAATCAACAAAATACATTCTAATCAAACCTTAGCCTTTAGGTATCCTGTCCTTTAAACTAAGCTGATGGACTGTTTGAGAAATGTTAGCTTTGACTTCAGAGACTGTGGCATGTGTTAGAAGTGAATCCTATTCTGACTTAATATTGTACATGTATTTTATCTGTAAAGCTACATGTGTCAGGACTCTGGTGCATTTACCCCTTCAAATCACACAGGGACATGATAAGAATATCTGCTTTTCAGCATCCTTAAAGTTAGCAACTCAGAAGGAAGCTGAGATACTATAAATGATTGTTAATCTGCTGTATTGCAGATGGAGTGTTTTAATTGTTCTCAAATTGGGGTAAATTAAGCCAGGTGAAATTCCATCATTTTGGGGCAATCTGCCTGACAGTTTATCAGTGGGGAAGGTCCTCAGCAGCAGCAGTGATTATATACTTCAAAGAACATGTGAGCAAAAGATATGTTTATGATGAATGTAAATATTCACAAGCATTTAGAAATAATGTTGGAGTGAAAAAACAGCCTCTTGAGATTGTAGCATTTTTAATCTGCTTCGTGATGCTTTGACTTAAAACAGTGGAGCATTTCAAGAGAATTCAGAAGGTCATTTTGTTTTGGATAAAAGACGTGGTCTTCTGACATGAATCATGAAACTGAGCACAGGGAAGCAGGAGGCAGCATGTAGGTCTCAGTGCTTGCCACAGCAGCAGCACCTGGGCGGGCATGAGTTCAAGTTCTCAGCGTGGCTTTAACCTGAGGGCTGGTGATTCTTGTTAAATTTTACGTGAAGGAATGTTGCCAATCGGTTTCTGTGTGTTGGATTGAACACCTGCAATTTCCCTCTTGGCTGAACAAGATGATATGCCTCTTACAGCGGAAGAAAGTAAGAGCTGGAAGACATGTAAACTTCGTTTGTGCTGATGTC